TATTCCCTCCATTTGTGCAGAGATTGACATTTAGGTAATACACCTAGCTTGTTAGCATAACAGTTAGAGAAAAGATATATAATGTCAATGTTAGGTGGTAGCAATTTATGATCTTGTTTCAGGAATGGTTTCCATTTAGAGCAGTTTTTATTTATATTTAATATATGCATTTAATATATTTTTAAATATAAAATTTAAATTTAGAGCATTTAATATCTGCTTCATAATTTTTAATTAAATTTTTATTTTATTGTGATTTTAACAAAAGTTTACAGAAAAGATAAATTTTCATTCATTGTTGCACACTTTACCCCTTCTCTATCCTTTCCCCCTCCTCCAGTTTACTTTTTTAAAATATTTGTTCATTATTTTGCAATTACCTCCTACCCGCCCAAGCCCCCTAGTCCTCTTTGCAGTGTACCTCTTATTCTAGGCTGTTAGCAATGGTGTTAGGCAGTATTTGTCCTTTTGTGACTGAAATATTCCACTCAGCATAATGTCCTCAGGTGCCACCCATGTGTGGAATATTTTATGAGTTCCTTGTTTTTCAGTTCTGTGCAATATTCCATTGTGCGGATGTATCATAGTTTTTCTGTCCATTCATTTGTTGATGGGCACTTAGATTGCTTCCATCTCTTTGCTTTTTTTAATATCACAGCATTTAACATGGCAGCTCTGATTTCTTTAGGATATATTTCTAGTAGTGGTATTGCTGGGTCAAAGAGTATATCTATTTCCAACTTTCTGAGAAATCACTATGCTGCCTTCCAGAGTGGTTGCATCATTTTACACTCCCACTAGCAATGACTAAGGGTTCCAGTCTTTCCCAACCTCACCAGCATTTGTTGTTTGCTGCTCTGCGTAACTTTGTTATATTTCCTTGGGTGAGGTGATATCTCATAGTTGTTTTTATTTAATCTCCCTGAAAGGTAGGGATTTTGAACATTTCATGTGTCAGTTTGCCATCTTTGTCTTCTTTGGGGAAGTGTCCATTCATATCCTGTGTCCATTTTGTTATTGAGTTGTTTATGTTTTCTTGTTGAGGTGCTGAAGTATTCTACAAATTTTTTATATGAGTCCCTTATCAGACATGTCATTACCAAATATTTTTTCACAGTCTGTGGCTTTCCTTTTTACTTTGTTGGAGAAGTTGTTTGATGTGCATGGGGATTTGATTCTTATAAGGTCCGATTCATCTATTTTATTATCTCCTGGTTGTAGGTACTATATGCTTCATATTGTCAGATCTAAAAAACAAACAAAAACCCCTTTTTTGTCCCAAAGATTGGCAAATGAAAATAAATTCATATTTAGCCTATATGGCTCATTTTTACATACATTAGAGCCATCATTTGTTTGCTCTCGATGTGGAAATGACTTTGTCTTGCCGTGAACTGCAGTACACTGTGTAGTCCTGTCACCCCAACTCTGTGTTCAGTCTGTCCGCCCTCTTCATGTCCACCACAGTAGTCCAAGTTCAGATCACCTCCCTTCACCCCTGAACTCTGCAGTGGCCTCTGGACTGCCCCCTAGCCCCTACGCCATTGTCTATACTTGACCAAAGTGGTCTTTTAAAAGTCTTAAAGTCTGCTGAGATTCTACAGCAAATTGGGAATAATTTTTACCAAAGTTTTGTTTAAAGCAACAAACTTTCCCATAGTCCCCTTTCTCACCTCTTCAGTTTCTCCATTCTTGAGGCTTTCTTTTTAGGATGAAGCCAGAACCCTGTGATGTGGTCTCTGGTGAGGTAGCTGCATGGTCACACCTTTTTCTCTGTGTCCTCTAGCCTCACCTGACCCCTCTCTGCCTTCTCCACTCTCCTGCAGTGTAACCTCATGGGGTCTCTTCTACTTAACCTACTTCCTTTTCCTTGCTCATTGATTGATACTCTACTTTTTGTGTTCAGGTCACGCCTTTTCGTGTTATAGTGTTCACAGTGAGACCCAGGGACATTTCAGAAAGTGGGAGAAAATCCCCTCCAACTCTCAACGTAATGGGATCCAGGATTTTTTGCATGCATTTGTGTAGTTATTTGACTAATGCAGATTAGACATACATGCTTTGCAAGAGTAGAAACTAGAGGTATTTTTGCTCATTCATATCTCTGTCATCTAGCACATTAAAACACCTTGTTATTGTTGTTTGTACTGTTGAGTTGGAATCAACCCATAGCGGAGCCTCCAGCAGGTTTTCAGAACCCGTTTAATCACACAAAAGGAGATTGCCCATCTTTCTCCCATAGAGCATCTGGTAGATTTGAACCACATATCTTTGGGATTACAACATGGCTTCTTACTACTAGGCCACAACAGCTCCCTAAAGCAGCTTTGTAAATGTTATTGAATATAGACTACTGGCTGCTGTGAGAAACCATGGAGATGAATGAATACACATATTCCTCATGTATCACCTATCTCATTATTTGACATTTTGCATTTATTACAGTAGTGAAAAGAAAATCTGTTTTGTACGTTAGTGGTACATAACAATGACAGTAATGAGTTCTGAGGTCTCAGACAACGTCCCTGACCAGATCCCTAATTCTGTCTTTGACCAGTAGACCCCAGGGACACATAGAAAGGGAGTTTGTGTTGTATAATATTTATTGTGTTGTATAATAAATACTGCCTGGGATAAAGGAGAAATTGCTGTGTCCTCAGGGTACTGGGGTGTACTAGGTGGAGCAGAGAGAGGATTGTAGTAGTGCTGGTGTGAATGAGATATTGTGTGGTAGGTACCTGATACCCCAAGGGGAGTGAGGTTCAGGCAGTAGCCACCAGTGTACCAAATACGGACCAGGGGAGAAGTTGCTCTTGAAATTTGGCTCCTGTTCTCAGCCCAGAGGTGTGACAGAGCAGGGCCAGGCTGAACCATGGACACAAAAAACCTTGAGATGAAGCACTAAGGGGCCCACGGCCCACAGGACCCCACGTCAGCTGATAAATGTCTGTGCAGCCCTGCACTTCCTCAGGGTCCCTTGGCGTGGGGGTGTATAAGGCAGGAGTGAGCTAAGCAGGTAAGTGGCCAGTGGCAGCTTCAGTTTAAGATCAAGGGCAAAGACCAAGCCAGGCCTAAACAGTCTTAAACACAAAAGCTCTCGATTACCAATTCTCATAGGGACATGGAGATAGAAAGGGGACACAAAAGCCCAGGGAATGTCAGGAGAAGGGGCTGACATAGACACCCAGCAGGCAGCATGCATCTATGTTGTGGCACCTAGGTCCTCCTGTCTGCAGCCAGGGAGCCCTCTTCCAATTACAAAGCCACCAGATCTGTTTTAGGATTGTTGGAGAGATGAGCTAGGGCCACTCATTCTGAAAATACAGTGAGTCAGGAGAGGGAGAGCAGTCCAGAGATGGGAAGGAAGGGCACCTCATAAGCCACCCAGGCTCTTAGAAAGACTGGACCACCTTCCCATGCTGCCAGTGTAAGGACCAAGCTCTCCTGAGGCACTGTAGGGGAGAAGTCATAGTGACGGGTGACCACAGCAGGGGCCCACTGGGAAATTCACAGTACAGATGAGGGAGTGGTCATTATACCCTTTCACTAACAGACTGATTTTTTTATCTTAACCACATTAATAAGTCAGGAGAAGGGATACTGCCACTCCTTAAGAGAGTTTAAGATAACTAAGAAGAATGAGACATGTATCTAAAAATTGACATCTCGTTTTATTTCAGAGAGCACTGGTGTCATAGTTGAGAGAGAGTTTCAGTGTTAACCCAGAGACTGAACCTTTCTGGCAGTTTGAATCCACCAGCCACTCTGCAAAGCAATTGACTGATTTGCAGGGGATTATTGGTGTTATTGTTGTTACTTGTTTGGTGTTTTGTTTCTTCAAAAGTGTGTGCTCACTTCTTATCTCTATGCTGCCTTTGGTCTTACATTATTTAAAACTGCTGCATAATGCTACTTATTGCACATTAAATAGACACTAGCTTAAACCGTTTTTATATGTACCAAGAAACAAAGTATTTATGTGACTTGCTTTGTTGTGATACTGCTTTATTGTGGTAGCCAGGAACTGATCGGGAAATATCTCCAAGGTATACTTCCCTAAGTTCGATTGCACCTGAGGTTTGAAAAAGCACTGTTAGGCCATCCTTTTGTCAGTATATCCAAAGTGAGTTCAGCAGCTTGGACATTACTTATGGCAGCTTCTAACATTCCTTTTTTTAAAATATCAAAACACGAAAATAAGCATTCATTCTTAAGTAGATAAATTGATGAGGTAACTGTAACCATGGGCTTGATCATAGCAGAGCCAGTGGGGATGGTGTAGGATAGGGCAGGGGCCAGATGTTTGTTCCTAGATTCTCAGCTGAGTCATCGTGGTCTACTGACAGCACCTAAAAACAACATTCATGAGAATTCTAGCTCTAAAGGAAATAAAAGCTTTAACAAATGAGAAATTTCAAAAGTAGAAAAGAGCGTAAAATACATTAATATTTTTAAATGCTAGAGCATTATGCCCATGATGCGACTTATATGAAAAGAGCTTTTTTTGTGTGTGTGTTATCAGACATTATTTGCAGTGTTACCAGACATTATTGTTCAGGGCCATTTTCTAGTATTTCGATTGTGTTCTAGATTGTCATTTAGACTGTGTTAGAGTCTAGTATTGTAGATTGCTTGGGATTAGTCAGAAACTTTGTTATCCTGTCTTTTTTTGTAAGACTGTAAGGTCTGTCCTTCCAGAGTTAGTTGTATTTTTCTTTTTGTTTTCCTCCAACTTTACTTAAGTTGTTTCACCCCAACCCTGGCGTTAGGGTATTAAGTCGACACTCAGCAAAAAAAGGCTGGCTGAGCCGTGCATTCTTGAAGAAGTCAGGTGATTGTTGTGTGAAGGCAGCTGCCGAGGTTCAAGTCAGTCAGTGTCCCCTCTGTGCTACCCGAAGGAAGGCTTGTCATTTACCAAAGTCCCAAATTCCTGGGAAGTCTTCCTCCTCCTTGCTTACTGCAGGAGGGAGGGGTTATGCAGAGGGTTTCAGGCTGGTCCCATGGGAATTACATTGATCTGGACCTTGGCCATGGTTCTTATCAAGTGGATCGCCTCCAAGGTAGGCCTTCTTAATTTTTAGGGTTGTAAAACCTTAATCATCAGTTTATGGATTTGATAGGAATAAAATAGATTCCTCTTCCTCCAGTTTTTATTTGATTAAATGACAGTTAAGCTTGTCAACTGAAAAGCTTAAAATGCCTGGTTGTAGTTTGTATTTTTATTCTGCTTCACTCCTCCTTAAGAGCTTTTTGTGTGGTATCATTATTCCTTGATTTTAAAATAGCTTTTTCCTCACACTTACTCTCTTTAAGAAATTTTTAATTTTTAAGATCATAAAACATTAAAAAAGATTATAAAACATATTACACTTCAAAGTGTACATATTTTAAACGTTTCGTTTTGGAGAAAAAGAATGTAATAATGTATAACACTGGAAATACTTCAGATTACACAATTTGAAGTTATGTTTTCAAGATTTGTGTAAAAATGTTCTTGAATCCAGCCACTCAGTTTAATAATATAAATTTACAAAGCCATTACTATTGGCAAAGCAACAAAGGTTTCTAAGAAGTTCTTTTTCTTCTTCAAGCAAGATTTTAATCTCTGCTATTTAATTTTTCCCCCCATATTTAAACATAATATACTCAGAATATATTTTTTTTTTGCTTGAAGGGACCCTTTTAACAAATAATGGAAGAATCTCTTAAAAAGTATTTCACAGTTAAATGTATTCCTTGCATTTCAATTTCATTTATGCTGACAGTTTCTATTATTGTTTTTAAAAGATTAGCTTGCAAACTTAATGAATGAAGGTCAAGTTAATGCTAAGGTATTCATTGAATATGTGAAAATTTTCAGAGCTATTTTTAAATTATTTCGAAAGTTTCAGATTGATACCATATTGAAATTCTCTTGGCACTAGACACAAATGGGCTTTCATACTCTAGTTAAAAGGGGCATACTCTGAAAGGATTCATTTTGCTACATCCGAGAAAACTCTCCAAACTAAGGCACTTTCTTCCTGTATGTTAACATGTTTTTTGTAAGGTTACCAGTTGCCATTCTGTGTATGTTCTTTGATCACCAGTTTACTGATCTTCAAAATGAGACCAATATAATCTATTGAATTACAAGCAGGTGAAGTGTGATTATGTGTGAGAGCATATGGAATGAACATCTTCTGACACAGAATTGGTTAATAGGATGTTGCTGTTATCAAATAAGAGAAATACATTATGGTACTTAAAAAAATCTTTACTCAGTTTAAAAACATGCTTGTCTTGAACTTCTGTATGAACTAATTCTGACAACTCTAAGAAGAATGAATTGTTGAATGATTTGGTTCGATTACGATTACAAGTGAGTAAGGGGCATTTCACAGGCAGCTCAGAGTTCCTCCTAATGTGCGTCTGGGTCCTTTGGACCTTTGCAGTTTAGCTTGTTTGTGCTGCGGCTGTCAGTTTCTGACCAGCTCAGCCTCACCAGCTCAGCCTTGCCCATGTTGTGACCTACAGTAGTTTGCTTCACAAGCTGTTCCCAGGATGGCTAAATTAGAATAGTCACGAGCAGAAGCTTCTTAGTTCTTTCCATTCACTGGCGAGGTGAGATGAGGTGGGAAAGTACTCCATAACCAGTGGTGTGACACTGAATTTTTATTAAATTTGTTGTGCTGTTTTTATTAAAATGGAACTCTAATATATAAGCATTTAAAATTATAAGCTTTTAAAAATGAATTAAATCTATACAGCATTCTGGGCATTCAAAACCCATAAATTCATTTTGAAAATAACATCTATCACGAAAATAAGATTTTCATTTTTATAATTCATAAATTATGGTACATTTTTCCAGAATTCTTTTTAGTCTACCTAGATTGCTTAGTTAGATTCATTTCTTACAAAACACTTAAGGTGATAGACAATGAATGAGTTACTGATGTTTTTATCATTGATGAATTTAAAACATTTTTAAGTCCATTCTTTAAAAGACTTTTTGTTTTATTTATATTTATGATATAAAATTATGTTCTTATATAATAAAGCTATATTTGTGGTCAAAACTTAATACTTCATAATGAGAAACTTAAGTATTTGCACATCTATGAGTAATGTATTCATATATATATATATTTGGAAGTAAATTCTTTCTGCCAACTTTTTAAATTTTTTTTATTTTAATGAAAGTTTACAGGAACTTTGGATTTCCATTAATTCATTGTTGCACACTTTCCTCCCTGCCTACCCCTCCCCCCAAGTTTGCTTTTCCCTTTGAAAAGTAAAAAAAAAAATTACTTCGTTGTTATACAATTCCCTCCCCCCCCCCAGTCCACTCCACTTTCATTCTGGACTTTTGTCATGACAATAATACCTAATTCTATATTCTTCCTAAACAGTTCTCTCCCTCATCTGTTTCTATGCAGTATACATTATTTATCCCCTCTAATTCTTAAATTTTCCCCAACTCAGATGTCAGTCCCGCTTTACAACAGTGCCACTATTTTTTGCCAACATTTTAAGATTAAGATTAACTAGTACAGACCAAACGTTTGAATATCTAAATTAGTGTAACTCTAATTTGATTACCAGGGAATAAATTTAGTATGCCATAGTTATAAACTAGATATGTTCATTACCTAGTTTTTTACTTAATACTATGTCACTTCACAAAGAACCGTTGTTACTCTTTCTCAATCCATAATATGTGAAATGATTACTTGGATTTGACTCAACTAATTAGATTTTTTTTTCTTCCATATTTAATTGTCATGTATTTCAGATTTGTCTTCTTTTTTACTTCTAGAGGCGTGGAGCTATTTCCTATGACAGTTCTGATCAAACTGCATTGTACATTCGTATGCTAGGTAAGCATTATTTCTTTTGCACCAATATTAGTTAATTTTGCTGTTTCTATTATTGTTCTTTGAAGCAACATAGCTATCTGTGCAGAAATAGTCTATTGCATTGAAGTATGGAGTCTGGAAACCAATACTAAAAAGTGAATACAGAGAGGCATTTAGAGTTTTGGTTTCTTCATATATCGCTGGCTTAATATCTTGAACATGGTCATTATTACCTGTTTTGGAAGTTCATCTTAAGCATTCTTCACAAGAAATAAAGCTTTCATTTGCAGAGATACTTAGTCCTAAGAATTTAATCTCAACATGGACGAAGATGAGACTGAAATAATTCATCAGCTCATCCAATCACTGAATGTATTTTGTCTTCAGCTGGCTGTTGAGTAAACCCATTTTCTTCGAGTACTTATTAATTGTGACATATTAGTCAATTCTACATGATGAATTAATTTGTTGAGTGTGTACTTGCTATGTTGCTTCCTTTCTTAGTTGACAGATTAATCTTTCCATCCATATACTTATTAATCTCTTGCACTGTTATCCATACTATTGAACATTTGCTATTTAACTTCCAAAAGACACATTTATTCATCTTTCTTAGATGAGTATTCCATGACTACTTTCATGGCAATCAATACCAGGTCAGGTGCTGATTATGGAACAGACCATCAATTACTCATATGCAAGCTCAAATTGAAATTTAAGAGAGATAAATCCCCAAGAACCAAAATACAATCTTGAATCTGTCCCACCTGAATTAAAAAAACCATCTCAAGAATAGGTTTGAGGCATTGCACACTAATGATCCAAGACCAAATGACATCAAAGATGTTATTCAGGAAGAAAGGAAGAAGCCATTACAAAGAGGTGAAAGAAAAGGTCAAATTGACTGTTACAGGAGACTCTGAGAATTGCACTTGAATGTCATAAGGCTAACATGAAGAGATGGTTAGTCAAGAAGTGAGGGAGGTGAACTGAAGATTTCAAAGGGCAGCTTGAGCAGACAAAGCAAAGTATTATAATGATATTTGCAAAGAGCTGGAGTTAGAAAACAAAAAGCAAATTCAAGTTTCAAGTTGCAATATTGAAGGATGCCATGGGCAAAAGCCTCTGCAAGGAGGCATCAGTAGAAGATGGAGGATAAAAAAAGAAAAAGAAGATGGAGGATATACACCCAAAAGAATTGATTGACACAGAACCATTTTGTGAAGTTGTTTATGATCAAGGATCAATGGTGATGAAGGAATAAGTTTGAACAGTATTGTTTTTTATTTGTTTTTATGTTTTTAGGTGTGTTTTCTTAACAATATTCTTAATAATAGTACATGCCAGTAAAATCTTGCTGAAGATTATTTTAAAAATTACTGTTGTTTTTGTTGTTGTTGTTGTTGTTAAGTGCCACCAAATCGTAGGGACTCTTAGCAACCCTGTGAACGAAAGTTCTGGACACCTCCTGTATAACTTTCGTCCTTTCTCCAGGTTCATAGGGTTTCCAGAGGCAAGCTATTGCAGAAGTTGATGCCACTCCTGCTTCCAAGCTTGTTTTAATCGGGTAACTTCACCAAACACTGTCCACCATGGGTCACCATTCTCGCATTTGACTAATCAGTGTCACATGTTCGGCTTCACAGCAACCACGAGTTACCTCTGTATAGCAAGTGGACAAACCAAGGTTACACAACCTAGAAGAATGTTTCACCAAAAACAGTTAAAGGCTGGCCTGAGGGCCGTGGAGTAGTCACCCACTGCCAGAGAGTTAGGGTGGATAAAAGAGGCCCTGACAACAAGGATATCATTGCTAATGTTAGGTGATATTGGCTGAAAGCAGGGAGTATTTGAAAGATGTCTACTTGTGTTTTAATGACTTCTGCAAAAGCATTTAGCTGTGTAGATCATAATAAATTTTTTTTCTAACATTGAGAAGAATAGGAATCCCAGAACACTTAATTGTGCTCATGCAAAACCTATACCTAAGCCAGGAAGCTGTTGTGCAAACAGAGCGAGGGAACACATCATGGTTTAAAATCAAGAAAGGTGTTCATTAAGACTGTATCCTTCCTCTGTACCTGCTTTGTGTTGGGTAGTCATTGGTTTTTGGG